AGCATTTGACTGGTATTTTGGAGTAAAACGGTTATAATGTTCTCTTTTGTTGGACAACAGGTTTAGAAATGTGAATACAAGGGAGGTTTAGCTTTAGGCATTTTAATTTAAGCATGTTTAGCTTAGTTAACGGAAAGCTACCTGCTGCCATCAGAGCAAGTGTAATTACTGCATTCACACGCTCCTCAAATGCTCTCAATTCCCGAGTTGTGCTTTTAAGTCGGAATGTGAAAACAACATGGACACTCGCATTACTACAAAGATTTGTTGGATTTGTATTTTTAGAGCTTTCCGACTTGAGTTTACATGAATTTTCTCAGTCAGGAAATTATTTTTCACATGCCGTGCCAGTGATGATGCTTCTTACGTCCGTTTCGGAGAACCAGAGGACTAATATTTCAATCGATCGCTCAGGCATGGCACCGAAATCTGCGTTCGGATTCGGTTCTAGTACATACCGGTTACATAGGTGCCATATTGGTACTGGGTTTCGGTACCCAACCTTACTCAGTCGGGGGGCCAGTTCTGCTCCTACTGTAATAAAACCATAGTTCATTTTTATAAGGGAAAAATATGACTCATGATAATGCAATAACATGTTCAATATTTGGATTTTTCTATAAAGATATTGTGATGGTGTAGTTATTTTTGTACTAATTTTGACATTTAGGCAGTTTAGAAAATAGTTATTTTGCACGGCCCCAGCTTAAGGATTTTAACCTTTTTTATGTGATGGCCATACAAAACTTTGTGTTGTCCATGGTTTCAGAATTTGTTGTGGGTGTATAGGACAGCCTGGATGAGTGAAATTTTGTCCCAGTCCGGGCCTGTTCTGCATGACAGTTATTCAGCCTGGATACATTCATTAGCTAACAAAATTTGAAATTTAAGTTCCTTTGTATTAAGGTATTTATATGACGTGAGGTCCCGATATCCGCGTGACACTAAAACAGTAATATACTTTTTACTTAAGTAGCTACATGTCAGAGCCCATACTTCTATATACTTTAACTTGAGTAAAAAAGTGTAGTCCATACTTCAGCTTTTACCAGAGTATTTTTAAACATGAGTATCTGTACTTCTACTTGAGTGTAGGATATGCAGAGTATTTAAATCTCTTTTGAATGAGTGCTTGCTGTTCACTTTCGATTTCGCGATCACGCGCACTCTGTGTAAAGGAAGATCAGATGTTTGTCAATGAGCCCAGGATCTGTTGAGCAGCAAATCTTCCAGCATGATCTTGTCAGGTCAGCCATTTCTCCTCTCATCCCGTGATCAGTGAAATCTGACTCCTGCAGCTCGTGTTGGATGCAGGGAAGTCCACGTTTTTTTTTTTCCATGGAATTGGGCTACTTTTAAACTGTTGCCATAGGTTGATTTCCCCCCTGTGGGTTATAGGTTTGAAATGTTGCATAATTTACATTTGACTGAAATGCTTGTATTGAAACATTTTGCATTCTATGATAAAACTGCTGTACGTTTTCTGAAGGATGGCCACTGGAAGGAAGCCTTTAAGCTGCGTTTTTGATCAATATGCATAACAGTCACTGTAAAATATGTATTTTAGGTATGGAAATTACATATTTTGAGTTTTTATATTTGGGATATGGTCATTGCGCTACTTTGGGCACTACTTTAACCAACAACCAACCCAATTTAAAAACAAATCTAAATGCTGATACTAAATGTTAGTACCATGTTTGTAGCCTATTGAATGTGCTTACTGCGCAGTTACCACCATTAATTTCAGATGGTTACAGTTATTGTTTTCAATAGCCAAAAGCCAGTTTGGCCTGTTAACTACCAAATAAACATCTTGTTTATGTATACTTTAATTCTTTCTTGTTTGTTGCTTAAAGGAAAAACAATCGGAAATAGGTATTGGAATCTGCCGGTTTGCTTGTAAAAAATCGGTATCGGAATCGGCCATGAAAAATCATGATGCATCACTATATAGAACCCATTATAATGAGTTATGCTGTCTACACTGGATGCGGCACGGCGTGACACGACTGCTGCCTCGTTATCTATGACGTACTGACACAAAATTCAAATGATTTGCAACGGTCGCTTTGTCACGTCCAGTGTAGGCAGACTTTAGCTGTTGCAGCGCAACAAGACAACTGTCACATCCGGTGTATACACGGTGTAAAGGAGATTTTAATTTGATTACATTAATGTTTAAATTGAGATTTACAATAAATATTTTAATTGCACTTTTGTTCAGTACTTTGTACAATACTAAAAGTGTGCAATACACTACTTTTGAATTCATTATTGAATTTTGAGCCAAACAAACCGCGCCCGGGCACAGTACGGAGCAATCACACTAGTCAAACGAACCGGGCTTTGGGGGTCAAACGCGCTCGGGAATGGCTCAGATCACCTAGTGTGAGTACACCCTTTTAAAATAAGGAATATGTAAAAAAAGAAAAAAAATTAAATATTTAAATGAAGAATATGTAAATAAACTGCAAAAACCTACAGCAAGATTAAAAAAAAAATAACATTTTCATTGTAGAAAAAAAATATACTAGATGTGTTTTATGTCAGTTACACAGTTACAACAGATTACCATTTATGCAAGTTCCTATTTCAGACCACTGAGATAAATACTATTGCCAACCTTTTCTTTAGAACTCAAAGGTCAAACTGCATTTAAAAATACAGTCCTCTTGTGGCCAGATGCAGGGAAAGTCTGTGCATTGTGGTCAAGTTGAGGTCTAAAGTTCATCAGTTTTGGCTAGAGTCCTCCATGCCACATTTACCTTTGTAGAATCCCTAGCAAGATAGCGTCTGCTACATGACAGTATGTCACCTGACGCAGATAAGAGATGCTAACTCCTGCTGCCTCTCTCTAACCCCCACATATTGGTGACTGTTTTGTACACAGACATATAAAGTCACACACTTTTCATAGTCCTTCAAGCCACATATACAAATCATGGCAGCCTCCCTGGGGACTCCATAATAGGACTGTTTGACCTCTCTTTTTCCTTTTCCCACCCATCACTGGATAAGTTCATTCACATGTGTTTTTTTTTTTGTTTGTTTGTTTTTTTATCCTCAGGAGATATTCACACCTGAATGTAAATTCAAGGAGTCTGTGTTTGAGAACTACTACGTGATCTACTCATCCACCATGTACCGTCAACAGGAGTCGGGTCGAGCCTGGTTCCTGGGCCTCACCAAGGAGGGTCAGGTCATGAAAGGCAACCGAGTAAAGAAAACCAAGCCCTCTTCACACTTTGTACCAAGACCCATTGAAGGTAATTTTATTTATGTATTTATTTTTTAAAGTGTGTTTACAGCATTCAGTACCAAATGATATTATATTAAAAAGTGACCAAAATAAAAAAAATAAGATATATTTTACACTGTATGTATATTGTATATAGAGTGGGGCTTGTTTTTATTCCAACCCACTTGTACTCTCAAAGCATCAAAAACTGAAAAGCTTACTATTAAGACGCTAAAAGTACCCCTATAGGCATTGCTTTATTGACAAACTAGGAACTACATTGCTTTCAGTTGTTTGCCTCATGTGTCAGATCAGGACACATTTTAACACATTTAATATCTTTATGTGAGTAATTGAGTAAAACCTAAGGTGATAATTGCTGAAAATGATCTTGCTCCATCAAAGCAATCAAATCTCATTAAAAAGATAAACAGCATAACAAACTCGGTCATAAGGCACTAGAGCCATTGGCATTTCACAAGCAAAGCTGACATAGCACTTTTCAGGCAGCAATTTGTGTATATGTTGTGATTCAGATAGAGACATTGATTGCTTTTGGGTCTGTTCCTCACACAAAGCATATTTGTTTTGTAATTTTTGTAATTTTTTAATAAATTGTGACTATATTTTTTTTATCTATCTTAACCCATGTTTTATATTGACAAATTGTTAGGTTTAGGCCAGTGGTTCTTAATCCTGGGGCCCGTTCTTCGTACCTCGATTAATACATCTGAGATGATTTGAAAGATGCCAGATCTTCTAATCGTGATAACTGATCTCTGGCTAATTTGGTTCTTCAAACGAATTTGCGGATCTGATTAAAATATCTGGATTTAGTTGTCTAAGATTACTACGCATTCTCGTGTTCCCCGTAAAGGGCAGATGTATCGATACTCAAAACCACGATCAGCAATGCAGCGATTGGCTGGCGGCAAGACAGCAATCATAATGACATCATATAATTATCATCTTATATAAAAGACACCTGACGAAACTTGACAAATTTCTGGACCTTTATAAGGAAACAGCCAAGTGAACAAAACTACATAAATGTTATAATAGATAAATGAAATGTGCACTGTTTTTATTTTATTTTTAATATTTTACATGATTCCCAATTATTTATATTCACAATTTCTAGTAGTCGTACAGGCATTACATTTTTATTTCAATGTTCATGTTGTAATTAGCAAAATTTAATTTTATCTTTGAAGCAGATTTGTTATGTGACCAGGGACGCGGGAAGTAGGGGTGCTGAGGGGGCTGCAGCACCCCCTGTTTTCACATGGTTGCAAATGCAACGCCAAGTTTGTTCATTTAAATTTATTCAGTTTTAGCATTTAATAATTTATTTGTAATGATCTCTGAAATGTAAATTGTAAGTGGGCTATAATAAACCCATGTTTCAGTTACATCTGTACACCACCTTTCGTTGATGTAAAAGCACGTCCCGCCGCCGCGCAATTTCCCCGTTGATTCTGCGTCGCAATCTGCTCTAAACAGCTGAAAGCCCGTCAGACTCAACGCGCTGTCCGGTATGGCATCATTCAGCCAGGTTTACGTGAAACACAGAGCAGCAGAGTGTGAGAAATCCTTATTTGTCCGGGAGAGCAGAAGGAGTTCGTCCGTTTTGTTGGGTAGAGAGCAGAGGTTCGCCAGATGGATGCTAGGCAACGGCGTTCGAAATCCGCGCTGCCTGAGCTTCACGAGGGCGCCGGCTCGCTTCCCCCGTCTGCGCGGCCTGAAGCGCTTGATCAGCGCCACTGCTCCACCAACTACTATGTCCAGCAAAACATCAGAATAGTTGAAAACCGGTAATATATCGGGTGATGTGTAGTGCCGAATGTCCAGCAATTCGTCTCTGGTGAAACTGATTGCAGGGATATAACTAAAGACAGGACAAACTAACAAAAACTACTGCAGAGCATGCCACGGAGGCCGCCATCATCATCGGCGCCATCTTGTCATTTAATTTTTTTAAATTTTATTATTATTTTAAATTATTGTCCCCAGATTAATAGTGTACTGTTGTAATAAAATAGCAGTGGCTGGGACAGATTTTAAATATCAATTCGACTTAAAAAAAATGCAATCTAATCCTGTTTACATGAAATAAGCCTGCCCACAAGCAGGTTTAACCCTCTACCGCATGGTGTAGCCATATGGTATACTCTTTGTGTTCATTTCCTTGCCACTGTCTCTTTAAGAGAACATTCTCGTTTTTTTTGTTGGAAAGAGAAGACCTTAGTTTAGCCAATGATGTGCTTTGGTTAAGTCACATGACATGCAGTTTTTTTCTGTGGTGAGATTTCTGACAGACTGACGTCTCTTGTCAGTAGTTGCTGAAAGCAAACTAAAACGTCAGTACCAAACAAGGACCAGTCCGTGTCACTTCTACAAAAAAATCTAAAACATCACTGTTATGATGTTATGATGATGTATTCACCTCTCAAAAAAGTTTTTATAAAATTTGTTTTTGGTAAATCATTCAAATGTATGTGTTGCCAAGCAGCAACACTGTGCAATAGTGGAATGACATTATTACAATAGTTTAGCTAGCTAGCAAGGTCAGCTGCAATTTGTTAAGCTGTAACAATAACAACATTAATACTAGTGAAATAATGTTGATTAGTCGTATGTTAATGGAATTTGTATTATGGATATAATCAAATTGAAATGGCAATTTTACTTTTGATTAAATATGAATACAGGTAACATTACATCAGTGAGCATGGCCATATTCTATGGCAAGGTAAAGAAGAAAAGGGCAGAACTTGCTCTTCCTGCACATGAAAAAACTGCTTTGTGAAGTTTCATACATAAAAAAGGTGATCTTTCAAGGATTATTGGGGGGGGGTGATGTTCATAGTCTTCCTCTCAAGAGATTGCATAATGCTGAATTTTCAAGAACTGCAATGTTTTTGGTTTCATGTCAATGTTCTGTGATACATTATATACAGTATTATATTTGTTTTAACTATAAATTTGCAGTTTAAATAATATTCATGAAAAATGTAATGAAATTAAAACAATTATAAATCATTATTCAGCAAAAAAATAATAGAATAAATAAAAGCACAAGTTGTTGGAAAGTATGTATAAGGTGTCAATTATAAGTAAGTACTGTGTTAAATTTTATAATAGCACCAATTGAAACAACACAAACAACATTTCTGAGGAAAGATATTAATTATAAGTAAGCTTACACTTATTCTAAGTTAGATCCACTATTGTATGCTGTTGCCGTATGGCAACATATCATAAAGTACCTTAAAATATATATTTTTACAGCACTTCAAGTTAAGCCATCTTAGAAAAGAAAAAGATTCAAATATTTTTTTCTATAGGTCTATCATAATGCGTGCGGTAGAGGGTTAAGTTTACCTGAGGGTGCAATACCCCTCACATCCAGATGTTATGGACAGCTTATTGCCTCAGGCCTCTCAGCATAAGAGGTTAGTGCATGTCAAGTGTTACGGGTGTCGAGACTGCTCCAGGATGAGCTTTGAAGAACCAAATAATCCAAGATCATTCGAAAACGTCAACAATCAAATCCAGCTAACTGAGTTAGCGATGTACGAAGAATGGGCCCCTGGTCCTCGTAACCCCCCACTCTGCATATTTTGCATGTCTCTTTTGTTTAACACACCTGATTCAAATAATCAGATCGTTATAAAAGAGCTCCATGAATGAACTGTGTTACGATTGACATGGTCCCTACACAGTGTTCACTGCTCTCTACTCCCTGCACACAGGAAATCGGCTGAAGTTTACTTCAAGAACACAGATTTGCGCTACACCACTGCCTGCAGCGTCTTCACACCCAGACAAAACTTACTACAGAAGTGTGAACGGTTATTTAACCATAATCATGAGATTTGCATAGTAGTCACGTCTCATGCACTTTAAAGGGATAGTTCACCAAAAATGAAAATTCTGTCATTAATTAACCCTCATGACGTTCCAAACACATAAGACCTTCATTCATCTTTGGAATACAAATTAAGATATTTTTAATGAAATCCGAGATTTTTCTGTCTCTGCATAGACAGCAACGCAACTGAAACGTTCCCAGGCCCAGAAAGGTAGTAAGGGCATCGTTAAAATAGTCCATGTGACATCAGTGGTTCAAACTTAATTTTATGAAGCTACGAGAATATTTTTTGTGCACAAAGAAAACAAAAATAATGACTTAATTCAACAATTTCTTCTCTGCTGACCCAGGAGCTGGCATTCTTATGCAGAAAATCTATCTCTCTTAGTTCATCGTCTGTATATTCTGGGCCAAATAAGTAAGACTGGGCAAGACATTGCAAGTCATCCTCTCTGTCGAAATCTTCAGATATGTTTACGAAGATTATTCGATGTACAGTGTGTCTTCTTCTGCTTGTAAACAAGGCGCAGCACATCTGGGTTCTACGTCAGAACGCTGGCTCCTGTGTCAGCAGCACCACACGCATGCATCGGGGTACTCTCCTGAATGTGCAGCAAAGACTGACAAGGAAGAGAAGAAATTGTTGAATGAAATCGTTATTTTTGTTTTCTTTGCGCACAAAAAGTATTCTTGTGAAGTATTACGGTTGAACCACTGATGTCACATGGACTATTTTAACAATGTCCTTACTACCTTTCTGGGCCTGGGAATGTTTCAGTTGCATTGCTGTCTATGCAGGGTCAAAAAGCTCTCGGATTTCATCAAAAATTAAACACTTAATTTGTGTTTGAAGATGAACAGAGGTCTTACAGGTTTGGAACAACACGAGGGTGAGTAATTAATGACAGAATTATTTTTTTGGGTGAACTAACCCTTTAATGCCCTTTGAATGGAACATACAGTCTCCTTTCGAACTTGAATCGTGGTGGAATATCCTGTGATGTCCACTTCGCAGGGCACTGACTTACGGTCGATTGGAACAAACCTCTGAAGCAATAAGAGAAACATCAAAATGTGAAGAGGGGGGGGTCGTGAGGACCAGGATTAAGAACCGCTGGTTTAGGGGAAAGGGTCTGGTTAGTAGGGCTGTCAAA